ACAAGCCATGGCCCATGCCTGGAATGAACTCCTTTCTCATCTTCCCTTCTCAGAATTCTTATTTTCTTGGTGGAACAAAAAAGGTAACACTTCTTTGAACTTTCTATTATTTCTGCCTTCCCCCCCATCCTGCCCAACTGTTAGTGTTCTCACTGTCATTAAATTAACTTATATTTATTTATCTATTTCCCCATCATCTTGCCTCCCACCACAAACTACTACCACATCCTCCCTCTACAAGAGGATGTAGCACACATATTGTTCTGGGAAATATTCTGATTTCGAAGCCTACTTGCTTACTATGTTTCTCAGCTCAGACCACAAGGACTGACTGGAGGCTGGGAAATGAGAAGCATTCATTTTAATTCAATCTAATAAACATTTGTTAAGCACCTACTATGTTCCAGACCCGGTGATGCAAACCCAAAAATGAAAATAGTCCCTGCCTTTAAGCAACTTATATTGAATTGGGAAAATGAAATCTAATTAAATTAATACATTAGTAAATAATTAATGAAATAAAATCATTAATATAATATATTATTTATTAATTATTTTATCATTATAATTTATAAAATATATATTATATAATATAATTTTATATAAAATATAATTTATATATGTAATGTGTTTATAATACATAATTTATAATATAATAATATTGAAATTATTAGTATAATTAGTTATAATAATTAATATTATATAAATAATGAAATGAATAAATGAATAAAAGATAAATTAATACAAAATATGTACAAATTAAAACAAAGCAATTTAGGGACATTACTAATATCTGGAAGGATCAGAAAAAGTCTCATGGGGAAGGAGTCACGTGATCTGAAGCTTTAAGGAAGTTAGGGTTTCTAAGAGGCAGCCACAAGGATGAATTGCATCCCAAACATGGAGAATGGCCTGTGTAAACTTACAGAGAGGAGAGGTGGAATGTTGTGTATAAGGGACAGTTAGAAGCCCATTTTGACTGGAATGGAATGTGAATATAGGGAATACCATAACTTTGAAACATAATTTAATATAATGTAATATAATACAATACAACCTTGAGATATTGTTTTACACCTACCAGATTAGCTAAAATGATAGTAGGGGAAAGTGACAAATGTTGGAGAGGATGTGGAAAAATTAGGACACTAATTCATTGTTGGTGGAATTGTGAAATGATCCGATCATTTTGGAGAGGAATTTGGAATTATGTCCAAAGAGTTATCTCTACCCTTTTGAGAGCAATACCACTACTTGGTCTACTTCCAAAGTAATTAGGGGAAAAGGGAAAGAAGCTATACATTCTAGAATGTTTATAGCAGCTGTCTTTGTGGTGGCAAAGAACTTGAAATCATAGGGATGCCCATCAATTGGAGAATGGCGAAACAAGTTGTGGTATATGACTGTGATGGGATACTGTTGTGCTATAAGAAACAATGGGTAGGCAGACTTCAGAAAAACCTGGAAATACAGATGAACTGATCCTGAGTGAAGTGAGCAGAACCAGGAGAACATTGTACACAGTAACTGCCACATTGTGTGATGACTGACTTTCATAGACTTGTTTCTTCTTAGCAATGCAAGA